TTTGTTAGTGTTTGGTATTTTAGGCTATTTGATCAAGTAAGTTTCTGTGCAAGAAAAAATACTTTTTCTTCACTTTCCAGCCCAACGTTTCGCTGACCTTCTCAGCATCTTCAGGGGCGATTTCTGTATACCTTAGAAAGTTTACGAATTTTACAAAAAAGAGACAGAACAATAAACAAAAAAGAGGACACTGACGACATCGCGGCTGCATATTTATTATGTTTATAGTTAGTAATAATTTGACAATTGTACCACACAGAGTTGGTATGAATGCGCGTAATTTTAAGTTTTTGATGTTTTTAAAATAGTTTAATCGTTTCACATGTAATTTTTATATACATAGGTATTAATGTTCAAAAAAAATTTTTCGTAGTCCCGTAACTATGTTTAAAAAAAAAAAAAAAAATAACCATTGTGTGTTTTTCATATGAATCCAATTAATCCTGTGTACCTATACATGTAATTTATTCATTTTTTCATTATGTTCGCAACTAACGATCTGTTTGTATGTATTCTTGTTGGTGTTTTTAATAAAGAAATCGCCCCTGAAGATGCTGAGAAGGTCAGTGAAACGTCGGGCTGGAAAGTGAAGAAAAAGTATTTTTTCTTGCACAGGTACTTACTTGATCAAATAGCCTAAAANATATTATTCAATATCGGAAGGCCTGCCGAAGTAATCTCTTTATCTACATCAACAATAAACATACAAGAAACATGAAGAATTTTTACAAGCACATCAAATACAAATACGGGGAGCACACTTGCATAACCTTAAAACACTTTAGCAAACAAACACAAAAGCTGGCAAAACAGATGACACAGCTTGAATTCTTATTAGAATGCAGACGATATGAACTTTTACCCAACCACCTGACAAACGCAGCAAAAAACGTAAACATAAATACCACGTCCCTGAAAATGAAAGAAAAAGTAGAAAAAACAAAACGGCTGTTTCTGAAGAAAATATTAAACATAGAAATTACACAAACAAATATAAACATAAAAAACACCAAAAACTACTTATATCACGCGAAGCAACAACTACAACGCAGCGTAAGTGAATTGGAGCTAAATTCCTTTCTTTGTAAACAAAATAGCCTAAGTAAAAGAATAACAGAAGAACGGGGAAAAATACATTCGTCTAAACTAGAAAAGCTAAAACATCAACAACTTAGCAAGCTAGGAATAAATCTAAACAACGATTGGTTCATAAATAAAACAACAATAGAATTTCCTGAAGAGTCGAAATGGTTATTATCACTGGGAAGAAAATTCGCTATACCCACCACAAAAACTAGTTTCAAACCGGTCCAAATGATAGCAGAAATGGAACAAATAATCCAACCAATAGAGGACAATAGAGCCAAAGAAATAGCAAGGTGCAAGCTGAGTAATCGGATCATCCAATTCAAACGCAGTATAAAACACAATGCAGCCGAAAGGTTCATTTTAGAAACATTTAATAGAACAAAAATGCTCTTGAAACGACACAAAAATGAAATAATAGTAACGGATGCCGACAAGGGAAACAAAACAGTGGTACTTTACAAAGCAGACTATGCGGAGAAGATGAAAAAACTACTTGAAGATAAAAACACATACAAAACAATAAGGAACGACCCAACAACAACACTACAGAGAAAAAACAATGCCCTGGTTGACGAACTACACAAAAGTAAAGTAATTAATTTTAGAGAGAAACAACAGTTGGCATGCGCCGCTGCGACTGCACCTAGACTTTACGGGTTGCCAAAAATACATAAACCAGATTTGCCTTTACGGCCTATTTCGTCGTCAGTAAATGTTCCGTGTTATGGTTTGTCAAAATATGTAGGAAAAATCCTTAACAACCTTGTTTCAGAAAAATATAATATAAAAAATGCGTTTCAACTTAAAGAAAGACTTAAAGACATCCGGATGAAAGAGGAAGATTTATTAGTCTCTTTTGATGTGATATCTCTGTTCACAAACATTCCAACGCACTTAGCAACCAAAATCATTTTGACTAAGTGGGACGCGATTCAATCACATACGAAAATTAACAAAAATAAGTTCCACAACATTTTAAATTTCTGTCTAAAAGACAATAATTATTTTACATACAATGGAAATTTCTACGCGCAAACTTTTGGGATGCCGATGGGAAATCCCCTCTCGCCTACGATTGCTGACATAGTCATGGACGATCTACTGGACAATACCTTTATGGAGCTAAAAAGAAAATTCAACATTGACACCAAATTTATAGTAAAGTACGTGGACGATATTTTTGCTATAGTAAGACGAAACGACGTGGATACGATTTTAAAGACACTCAATCAATACCATCCCAAACTGCAATTCACAATGGAACCAGAAACTCATTCCCGCATCCCGTTCCTAGATGTCATGATCCACAGGAAAAATGACTCCATATTATTAGATTGGTACTCAAAGCCCACATCCTCCGGACGCCTAATAAACTTCTTGTCTGCGCAACCCTTCAAGTATAAAGTTAACACAGCGAAAAACCTAATACATAAAGTACTAACTATAAGCCACAAACAATTCAGAGACACAAATATAAATAAGATAAGCAACATTCTAAAAAGTAACAACTACCCGCACCACCTAATACAGAGCCTACTTCAACATAAAATAATAGAAATAGACAACAAACACAGCCAAATACCGACATGTAAAACAAGAAATGATACAAAGCGACATCACAGTGTCACATATGTACCAAAATTCCACCAAAAAACTTGACCGCGAAATATACAACAAAAATCAAAACACAGTACTAGCCTACAGATCAAATAGCACGCTGTCTTCGATTTTCACAAGAACAAAATCGCCAATTGACTCCCACCAACAAAGTAATGTAGTATAGGAAATAACATGCAAAGGGAGAGAAAACGAAGACTGCAATAAAGTATACATTGGCACAACAAAACGGGCACTGGGTGTACGCCTGGCAGAACACGAAGCTGATATTAAGAAAAACAAAAACACCACCACCGGTTAACACCACCGCTTTAGCCCAACATGTGTTAGCCAGTGGTCATACAGCTGACTTACCCAACGCGAGGATAGTGGATAGGGAAAAAAGAGAAAAAGCGAGGTATACCTTGGAAAGCTTACGAATTTTACAAAAGAGAGACAGAACTCTGACAGAACACTGACGACGTCGCGGCTGCATATTTATTATGTTTATAGTTAGTAATAATTTGACAATTGTACCACACAGAGTTGGTATGAATGCGCGTAATTTTACGTTTTTGATGTTTTTAAAATAGTTTAATCGTTTCTCATGTAATTTTTATATACATAAGTATTAATTTTCAAAAAAAATTTTTCGTAGTCCCGTAACTATGATTTAAAAAAAAAAATAAAATTGTGTGTTTTTCATATGAATCCAATTAACCCTGTGTACCTATACATGTAATTTATTCATTTTTTCATTATGTTCGCAACTAACGATTTGTTTGTATGTATTCTTGTTGGTGTTTTTAATAAAGAAATCGCCCCTGAAGATGCTGAGAAGGTCAGCGAAACGTCGGGCTGGAAAGTGAAGAAAAAGTATTTTTTTTTGCACAGGAACTTACTTGATCAAATAGCCTAAAATACCAAGCACTAACAAATTCAATAAATTGATCGTCAACTCATCGTCATACATTGCACTAAATTTTTTAACCCATTTTCTGAATTACTCATATTATTCAATTTTCAAAGTGCTTTTAAAAAATCTTGACGTCAGAGAGAAAAGCTAAAAACGCAATTTTACTGCATATATTTGTTAGAGCTCTTGTTAATCGACTAACCGATTAATCGGTTAATCGAATAGAAAAAGTTGTTTCAAAAAATAATCGAATATCTTTAATCGATTAACCGCTCATGAATTATGATGGAGATAAATACGTGACTTATAGCAAAATTCAAAGTGCATCCATCACCTTCATATACTCATGGAATCCAGGCACGAGAAATGGTCTCTTGGCGCTCGCTTGAAATAGTTTCGCCATCTTCGTTTTTTCTTCTACGCTTGAAACTTTTTGCCGGGCTTGGTTCGGCACATTCACTTTGGCTACATCTGTGGTCCTGGGGAGGATAAACTATGGAAAATTACCACTTATTAGTTCGTTAACATAAAATACATTTCCAGGTCCTGCTCCTTGTTCCTTTTACGAATGGCCTTCAAATGGGTTGCCAAAGACGATGTCGAATTATTATAGGCCATATTTTGTCCACATATTGTACACTTGACTTCTTTTCCACCTTCGGAGTTAGAAAAGAAGTTCCACACCCAGCTACGCTTACGTTAACTAATTTTGGATAAAGCAAATTTTTGGTTTTGAAGTGAGAAAAAATTTGTATTTAAACATTTTTCACTATTCGAATAATGACAGTTAATCAATTGCCCGACTAGTCGAAGTTAATGAAACGATCGAATACTTGCTATTCGATTTTCAGTCAATGCAAAAGTTGCTACTCGACTATTCGAGTAATCGGTTAACCGGATAATCGACTGTTAACAAGAGCTCTGATATTTGGCCCATAGCTTCGTGAATATATTGATTTTTTGTGAGTAAAATTGCCTGTCGCACGGTGTTATGTACATGTATAATTAGCTAGACATATATAAAATAAATATGATATATTAATTAAACAAAAGAAATATAGCGAAAACTGGTCAGCATGTCTTTCAACTGGTCTTCGCAAATAATCCCGGGATTTTCGGGACTTAAAAAAGTACCGCACTTTCAGATTTTTTGAGCAGTGTGTGTAAGGGATTCATCAAAATTTATTCAAAAATAATATATCTAATCGCTCTTTAGCAAAGAAGTGGCTTTTCAAGAAATTTTAGGAAAATGCCTATCTCAAAAACTACTTGACCGATCTCGACCAAATTTGGTTAACGCATTTTGCTTAAGTACGTCTTGAATATTTTTGAAATCGGACAAAACCTACTCCCTCTAAAATATATCTAGCTTTGAGTTTTTTGAAATTACCGTTACGTTGGTGGAGTCCGTGGTTTTAAACCGATTTCAAAAATTTTCAACATGGCGCTTATTCCTGACATTATGTGTCCCGGTTGCAAGAATGCAAAAAATGCCTACCCTCGGCAATGGCAAACCACCGAGTGTATTTCTGTCATGAAAAGCTTCTCCTAAAATCCATTAGCCGTTCTGAGGCGGAGTAAAACTGAGTCCCTCCATTTATGTAACAATATCAAGGCGCACACCACTAATTGGAGGACAAGCTCGGCCAAACACTGAGCAAAAGTGTAAGCGCCAAATTATTATTATTATCATTTGAATTTCCGGCTTATTAAATTAGCTTATCTTGCCATCATTTTTAGAAAGAGTAGTGAAACTACTACATTTTAGCAAGGATGATCAATAACCGCATTTATGGCGAGAGGCAAATTATCATCCTTAAGAAGATTGAAATTAAACTTCTGAATTACCTGTGTAAACGAGTTTTGGGTTAGTGTTAGGAGGAAATACCATGAAGTAGGTAATAAGGCTATCTTAACTTTTCTTCCTTTTGTACCAACGTATTGTTGTGAACAGAAGTTTTCAGCTTACACATATACAAAAAACATATTCAGGTCGAAATTGGAAGCTAGAATTCATGAAAATTAATATTTTTCGATCGGGTTCCCAATAATAATGCCCAAATATTGATTTAGCCATTTTTTCATAGTAACTATATTTTATAGGCCCGCCAAAATCCCCAGAAAATGCAATGGGGGCATGAATGCAAACTCTTTAATATTAAAAAATGGTTAAATAAACAATTGGGTATCGTTATTGGAAGCCTCTTGAAGAGAACCAGAAAAATGTTGATTTTCAAGAATTCTATACCATTTCTACGAAAAGCCTTTTTTTCCCATATAAAATACATGGGCAACTTTGAGCAATTTGGACGAACTCTAAATATTTTTTTAATTCAAAATAAGAAAATAGGGGTATATTTTTTCGATGTAGAACAATCCTAGGGGTGAGAGCATTAAACTTCAGACTTTACTTGTTTTGGACTACCCTAATGTACATATACTACTTCTAGTAAAAGTTTTTATTCATATTTAAATTGCAGTGCCTTTGATTTTTAATAATTCGACGTCGATTCTAAAAATGAAAGGTATTTATAGTGTGTTCCATTATCTTAAAAGTTTGGGAGCACCTGAAATAATGAACAGTGCACCAAAACTGTATTCAGAAAAAACAACAGTAAATTTCTAATATTTTTATTGAGCTGTGTACCACGATTGCTTATTAGGAAAAATTGAAAAAGCAACAAAGTCTAAGCGGTAGAGGTTATAGCAGCTATTTCGGAGATCACCACATCTCCTCATCACTCTTCTTTTTTCTAGACTTCAGCAGGGATCGAACCTGCGTAATCGATGTTCAAAGTCAGAAGCGCTAACGACTGAGTTATGTACACCCCGTAAACTCTTGCTGCTAATTCATTTTCCTTATTCAACCAACTACTATCAAGTGCAGCTGATTTGCCGCTACTTGTATTATATATTTATGTTGTTGTCAATTCTATACATTATGTATTGTAAATTTCATTGGAGGTTTTAATTTCGAGTCCGTGAATAGAATTTCTACGGATTTTATCTTTTCAACCATTCATAGGCTATTAAACAACGCTAATAAATCGCCAATTGAGACGAAAGAGATATTCTATTAAGGGATTTGGGGAATCCAGTAAAATTGTTTAGACTGAGTAATTTTCTTATTTACCCTTATTGAGAAATCTCTCTTTTCCAGACAATAACGTGGGATACAATTACGCACCACCGCATCCCCTGCCAATATACGGACCACTAAATACAGCGCACGCGCCACAGATCTTTCACCAACCTGTATCCTCATATAACCCAAGAGAACATTGGATTATAGAAAAATTAAAGAAAAAAATAAATCTGTTTGCTTTCGGCAAGATAATATTAAAGCTGCTGGTATTCAAAAAGATTGTGAAATTTATTGGAGTAATTTGTTTGCTTTTATTTCTTCCGAAATTAAAAGATTTTCTCAAAGACGATATGTCAGTGGATGAAAGTAATGCGGAAAGTAGCAGAATTATCACAGAAAAAGGTATAATGTTGTGAATGAAATTAGAAATGTAAACACAAATTTAAGTAAATGACGTTCCCAATCTTCCTTCATTTCAGATGAACTCGAGAGGCATATTTCGAAACTACAAGCAGTAATCTTAGGATCTATAACATCACAGAGATCAACTTAAAAATAATGCAACGTATCTACTCATATCGTCGGCTTAGAATGCAGATGTTATCAGTCCACTGTTTAAACAAATTTTAGATTTTTCTGCAGCATTAAAGAAAATGTATAAATACACCATAAAAGAAAAAAGTATATACATGCTTCTCTGGTTTTAATCTGTTGATTCGCAATAATGTGCAAAAGTTCTGTCCATAGTTCGCTTGTTAAGATTTAAAATAGGCAAAATTTTTTCGTACCCTGGACGGAGCCGCTGTTTTAAATTTGCTGTGCTATGTCCATATCGTTGTAAACCTCATGCAGCTGGGGTATTAGCCAACGTCATTGCACAAGTGCCCGTAAATCTTCCATAGAATCTTTTTCTCGAAAATTCCAAGAACCCCCCATCATGATGCAGAGGGACTTATTGACGGGAGAATGCTTTACTTGTCAATTGCCTATTTAGTCTAAAGTAGCAATTGTTTTCAAAAGTGATTCTCCGTTGGATTTCTAAGCTAATGCCACTGATGCCACATGTAGGGAAAATTTCTCACTTGTAGGGATTTCCAGCTCTAAAAATGCGTGCGTAAGGAAAAGGCATGTATGTATCTTAAAATGAAGGGAATTTTTGAAATGTGAATAAAAATGTTTTGCAACGTGCATATCTATATTGAACAAAAAAATTTTCCGCAAGTTTGCGCATGTTACACTGAGATATCGACAAGCAAGGCGAATTTATATACATACATACACACATACATATGCATATGAATTCTCCTTATCGATAAGTGTGGAACTTTTGATTACTCTTGATATTTGCGTGAATTCTGTATCAAATTTTGATGTTTAAAGCTGAATATATCACTCTAAAAATTATTCACGACGCTGCATTGGATACGCAAAAATAAGTAAATAAACGTTTTACCTTCATATTTTTTCAACAAATTGACATATCGTCACCTAAGGGTGAAAAGGTGCCTATTTTTGAAATTGTTCGGGAGAGACAAAAAATCGATTTAGTATCGTATTACCTGTCATTCTGCATCAAAAACTAAACTGTGAAAAAAAACAGACTTGACACCTTTTCGCCATTAGGTAGCGATCATGATACAAAAATAGAAGGTAGTTTCATTTATTGATATTCGTTGTTGTTGCCGACCACTTGACTTTTAACAAGTTTATGACATTTAACTAAAATCATGCTACCAGATTCATTAGCAGCAAAATTTTTGTTTCTGGAAAAAGTAAACAAAAAATTTTGGAGTCAGTGAATTTGGATGAATATATTAAAGAAAATTCTTGCGCGTTTCAAAGCTGCAAGAATTTGGGACACCGGTGGAAAGGTTCGAAAATAAAGTTTTTTGCTTTTCCGAGGATAGAGTACGTAATACGATCTAATGCAGTTTGGTGACAAATTGCTAACGCAAAATATTTTTAAACCTCTGAACGATGTACCGATATGCGTGGAAGCGGGAGGAGGTTGAGTTAAAATTATGCCCTGGAACTTGTAACAGTACCAATTTTTGGGTTCTCGGAATTTTCTGATAACGATGTGGCGCTGCTAAAAAATATATATACATAAATATAACTTTTGTGGTATGTACTTGTGGCAAGAATTATCCATATAAGATGAAAACGACTACCGTTTCATTTTATACAATTTTGTTTATAGAAAAATGCAAAAGTAAGACATTTCTGGTACGGTTCGGTCATTTGTACTATGCTTTTGGGTTATCGTGTCCAAACGCGTTTAACATCTACGTCTAGCCAAAGGATTAAGCTTTAATTTAAAACAATTATTTCGGTTTCAAATGTGCACTTTTTTTTTGTAAATTTGGAGGTGGATTTCGCGCAAAAATACTGTGCATGGCGTAACCGGAGTTGGACTGATGAGGTTATTTTTTCTAGCGCGGAGGAAGTCCATGCGGAGAAAGTCCATCAACATGGAAAGGAGTTTTTCGCAAAAACACTGCTGATGGCCTAACACGAGTTTAATTTTTCTTTGCGAAAATGCTAATTTCACCCCATTTTGAAAGGGCCCACCGAGTGCCTTCTTGGCGTTCATTGTGGCATACCTTTTGCGTCTGGCGCTTTGCTGGCAAAGTTATAAATGTCACGCAAAGCCACAAAGTTTTTATCTAGCATCAACTTTAAATTTTAATGTGTGTAGTTTTAGGTGACACACCCCTTCTCTCTCCGCTCCCCACCAAAACATCATTGTACAAATAACCGAATATTTCTCACACACAACATTAAATCCTCTGATGTATTGTTTGATTGCCATAAATGTGGCAAGGTAGCTCACAATTTTGTACAATTTATGAAACTTCAAAATCTTATATTTTGTCAAAAAACTACCTTCTTTTTGTATCATGGTAGCGATACATGATTCAATAATATAAAGGTTTTGTAATAAAACAGTCTTCTCGCTCCTACACATAAAATCGGCTCCTTTACTTGTGCAGAATGTTGCTCACTCTACAGTTTCTAGTTATATTAGTAGTAAAACCAAAAATTCGTCGGCCGCTGTGTGTGTCGGCAACGCCTGGGTTTAAACCCTGGTCAAAGCAACATCGCAAAAAATATAGGTTTTTTCTTAACAGCGGTCGTCCCTCGGCAGGCAATGGCAAACCTCCGAGTGTATTTCTGCCATGAAAAACAGCTTCTCATAAAAATACAATCACCGTTCGGAGTCGGCGTAAAACTGTAGGTCCCCCTCTTTGTGTGACAACACCAAGGAATGCTTACACATTGAGAAGTTAGCCACAAATCGGAGAAGAAGCTCGGCCAAACACTAACATATGTGTAAGCGCCATAGTAAATATTCGTTGGCATCACCTTCGATTGCGTAAATTTCTGGAACAAGTCTAGAATAGCGACCGTTTAGCTATAAAATAACCAAAAGTGCCGATTGACAGAACTTTTTACGCTGATTTCAACGATACCAAATTTATTTGGCGCAGGTAATAAACAAAGAAGATATAAGAGGTTTATTTGCTTTGTTTACTAATATTTTTTATTATCACTTAATTCTTAAAACCCAAAAGTAGATCATGATAAAATATGTATATAGAATTACAGAATATAGCTTGTACTTTCTAAATAATATAAAAATCTTTACCATTAACCGNTTTACGATTAACCGTGCAGTTTTTTTCAAAAAAGGTTATTTCATGAAAAAATAACATATGTTCGTTTTTTAGTGGTTTTGGTTTAAATATATAAAGAACAATTTCAATTATGTATATCAGCTGAAAGATAAATTGATTATCTTTATGGTGACGTTATTAGTTTTTTAATCGGTTATGTGGTTCATAACATATTAATATTTAAAAAAATCTTAGAATTTAATTGTAACCTTCTAAAACGTCTTTATATTTTACTTGCCCTAAATAATTTTAACATGGTGGAAATGAGCGTAAAAAGTTCGTTTGATATGCATATTTTGTTTTTGCATAGCTGAACAGTCGGTATTCTAGATTTGTTCCAGGAAATGACGAATAACTTAAATTAAAAATCTATTATTTTACGTATTGCTTAGTATTTCCATTAAAACACCAAATATATTGCAAATTGACATATAATTAATAATATACATTTTACTTCTAATTATATACTTTGCGCACTTTCTATTACCGTTTTCGCAAAAGGAGGTCACATTCTTCGCCTTTCTCCTACTTCCAAAATACAAATCTAGATAAAGGAGTGTGAAATTTTAGCTGTCACAAATAACATAACCTTGTGTTATTGAATAATGGTAGCGATATATTCTTTCAGAAATGAATTCATCATCAGAGTCAGAGTCAGAAGCGGTATCAAAAAAATACGTAAAAGGAAAATTGTATTAAATAATTTAAATAAAAAAACTTATTTATGTGTTGTATTGCAATACTAATACATATTTAAAACAAAAACGTTGTGAGGACTAAACATGTATATAATTTCTTAAGTTTTGACCGTCGATAATTTTTACAATTTCAAAATATGGAGCACTATCTATTCTAAATCTATTTTCAAACAAACTGATACCTCATTAATTTCAATCACATAAAAATTGTCGAATTTAGGCTTTTCTTAAGTACGGCCTTGAATTTATATGTGTGTATGTACCGGACTTTCAGATTTTTTGAGCAGTGCGTGTAAGGAATTCATAAAAATGTATTAATAAATGATATATACAATCGCTCTTTAGCAAAGAATTTTTTGAAGAAATTTTAGGAAAATGGGGGTGGCACCGCCCACTTATATCATATACGCGTATCTCAAAGACTACACTCTAAAAAAAAAATTGTGTAGATTTCCTAGCTAAAATGTAGGTTACTGATTTCCTACCTTATTATTTGCGAAATTGCATGGTCGATTATTCAACGAATAGTTTGTTTAAATTTCGGACTTTTTAGAGTGTAATATAGCTGCTGTTGTGTGCGTAAGTTTACTACAAAAGTGTGTACAAGCTACCAAATATACATCTGCTGTTTAAATTTTAAAAAAATTTTCAATATGGCGCTTAAAAAGCCTAAGCGCTTATTCCTAATATTGCGTGTCCCGGTTTCAAGAATGCAAAAGTTGACAAGCCTACCCTAGGCAATGGTAAACTTCCGAGTGTATTTCTGTCATGAAAAAGCTTCTCCTAAAATCCATTTGCCGTTTGGAGGCGGAGTAAAACTGAGTCCCTCCATTTGTGTAGCAATATCAAGGCGCACACCACTAATTGGATTACAAGATCGGCCACACACTGAGCAAAAGTGCAAGCGCCAAATTATTATTATTTGAATGTCCGGCTTATTAAATTAGCTTATCTTGCCATCATTTTTAGAAAGAGCAGTGAAATTACTACATTTCAGCACGGAAAGTCAATAACCGCATTTATGGCGGGAGACAAATTATCATCCTTAAGAAGATTGAAATTAAATTTCTGGATTACCTGTCTAAACGAGTTTTGGGTTAGTGTTAGGAGGAAAAACCATGAAGTTGCTTAAAAGACTATCTTAACTTTGCTTCCGTTTGCACCTTCTGAACGCGTTGTTGTGTACTTCTAATCAACTGAACAGTTGCGTGTTAGATGATCGTAATATTTTGCTGATAATTTGAGACAACATGTTGGTTTGTACCTTTGAGAGTTGAATTTGACCGCTAATGTATCAAGCCGTTCAGAAGA